CCAGGCTCAGGCCTCCGCGCGCGCGCCTCGCCGCGTCTTCCGGACCTCCTCGCCTGCGGCTCTGCGAGAGATCGAGTTACTTGGCGGCGACGGCCGCCTCGGCGGCCGCGGGCGCGGCGTCGGGCTTGGGCGGCGGCGGCGTGAACTTGGCCGTGTCGAGGTCCTTGAGCTCGTCGAGGTCCTTGAGCTCGTCGAAGAGCGCGTCGACGTCGATGGTGCCGAGGTCGCCCATGGTCCGCGCGCGGACGGCGAGGTCGCCGCTGGCCATCTCCTTCTCGCCGACGACGCACATGATGGGCACGCGCTGCGTCTCCGCGTTGCGGATCTGCTTGTTGAGGCGGTCCTTGCCGCTGTCGATCTCGCAGCGGATGCCGCGCTGCGCGGCCTTGGCCGCGACGGCCTTGGAGAAGTCGCGCGCGTCGTCCGTGACCGGCAGGAGGCGCATCTGCGTCGGCGCGAGCCAGAGCGGCAGGTCGCCGCCGCACGACTCCAGCAGGATCGCGAAGAAGCGCTCGAGGCTCCCGAAGATGGCGCGGTGGACCATGATGGGCCGCTCGGCCTGGCCCGACGCCGCGCGGTACTCGAGCTCGAAGCGCTCGGGCAGGTTGAAGTCGCACTGCACCGTCGAGCACTGCCACTGGCGGCCCAGCGCGTCCTTGATCTTCAGGTCGATCTTGGGACCGTAGAACGCGCCGCCGCCCTCGTCCACCCCATGGTCCCAGCCCTTGCGGTCCAGGGCGCCCTTGAGCGCCGCCGTCGCCTTGGTCCAGATCTCGTCGGAGCCGACGGCCTTGTCGGGCCGCGTGCTCAACATCAGCTCGTAGTCGTCGAAGCCGAACTTGGAGAGGATCTCCTCCGTGAGCTCGAGGACGGCGACGATCTCGTCCTCGAGCTGCTCCGGCGTGCAGAAGATGTGCGCGTCGTCCTGCGTGAAGCCGCGGACGCGCATCAAGCCCTGGAGCGTGCCGCTCCGCTCGTAGCGGTAGACCGTGCCGAGCTCGGCCCAGCGGAACGGCAGGTCGCGGTAGGACCGGAGCTGGTCCTTGTAGACGAGGCAGTGGAAGGGGCAGTTCATGGGCTTCAACTGGTACTGCTCCTTCTCGACGTCCATCTGGTCGAACATGCCCTCCGCGTAGAAGTCGAAGTGGCCGCTCGTCTTCCAGAGGTCCACGTTCGCGATGTGGGGCGTGACCAGCAGCTCGTAGCCGCCGCGCTCGTGGGCCGCCTTCCACGTGTCCTCCATGAGCATGCGGATCCGCGCGCCCCGCGGGTGCCAGAAGCACAGCCCGCCGCCGGCCGCCTCCTGGATCGAGAAGAGGTCCAGCTTCTTGCCCAGGACGCGGTGGTCGCGCTTCTTCGCCTCCTCGAGGCGCCGCTTGTGCTCCGCGAGCTGCCAGTTCTCCTGCCAGGCCGTGCCGTAGATGCGCTGGAGCATCTCGCGCTTCTCGTCGCCGCGCCAGTACCTGGGCAGGACAAGGGTGATTCAACGTCGCTTCAACGTGAGTGTTCCGCGCGCGCGCGTTCCGGAAAAAGCATCCACGCTTCGAGACCAGTCCGAGAGATGATCGCTCGTCCAAAAATCAGCCGAAACGAGTGGAAAACGGCCGAGATATGAGGCTTTGAAGTTGGGAATTTCGCTCTCTTGTCCTGCCCTGGCCAGTACGCGCCCGCGACCGACTGCAGGGCGACGGCCTTGGGCTTGATCGCGCCCG